AATTTATAAATGCAACGGTTGGAACAGCCACTTCCCTATGACTATTAACTATTATCCCCTCAGCATGATGCTGCCACCCCCATGTTACCATACATATTATTTGGATTGTAGGATTGTTTATAAATGGAATTTTGATCTAATCTGATCAGAGCACCTTCTTCCCAAAGTATGACTTCTACTTTTGAAGGTATTTGGTAGAAACTGCATTTTATTAATTTATTTTATGGATACAGAAGGTCATTCCGTAAAAATTCAAAAAATATCCACTGGACTTGGTTTTCAAGATTTGAAGACGTTTCCCCACCTCTCTAGGAAGCTTTCTCACTTCAAATGTAAGCTTCCTGGAGAGGTGGCGAAACGTCTTCAAATCTTGAAAACCAAATCCAGTGGATATTTTTTGAATTTTTACGGAATGACTATGACCTGGATGACTGAGAACCTTCGTCAGCGATATAGAAGGTCAAAGTTATGAGAAATGTTTCTGCAGTAAGGTGCTACTTTGTTATGGTTTATTACAAAGAAATAAAAAAAAAACACATTGAGGTTTGTTATTCAATCTGTGTTTTTAAGGTGCTGTGGCTAATAGAACAAAGTCTTACCTTTTAACGCCTGTGTGATATTGTCTTGTTAGTTGTCAGAAAGTCCTGCCTCTCTGCCACCCTGTCTCCCTGCTGAAACCGCAGAGATCAACCAGTACGACCTGGCTGATGCCTTAATCGACACCGAGAGGAGCTGCAGAGACAACACCTTAGAACCAGGTATTATTTTCAAGCATGGTTGTTTAGATATGAGCTAATTAGTCTGGATATCTACTGGAGAATATTGGTTATTTTTCTCTACAGTAGACCTAGATGGGCTTCCATCTCTGACCGATTCTGTCGTTTTAGAATCTCCTACAGTGCCGAGGGGCTCCCCCGTGTCCGTCTACTTGTTTCCTGGTGAAGGGTCGAAGCAAATCCCGTCTGTCCTGCAGAGGGACGACTCTGAGCTTGATGGGCTGGTTGCCACAGCAATGGAGGCACAGCCTGATATGATCCTGGATGATGGCTCTGATGGCTCCACCGATAATGATGACTTCTGCATCCTGGAGGCGCCTGGCATGGGCATACCTGTAAGTGCTCATGTCCCTGCTTTTTTATTTTAAAGGGGTTGATTTTATAGGGTATTTGGTGCTATAAATGCTGAAAAATGGCATATTTGCTGTTCTAAGAGCCCTAATGCAAGTTTGGTTTTAAGCCCTAGAATGAAACGACAGGTTTTCTTCCTTATGGTATGCTCATGAATATTTAGATCAGCTGTGCGCTGATTGATTGGTTTACAACGAGCGAATCTGCTGAGCAAAGACGCATCATTGCGACAAGCACTCACTCACTGAAACATCGAGATTGTTGATATGATAGGATGACCAGACATCCTCTTTTCCCGGACATGTCCTGCTTTTCATTCCTGAAAAAAAAATTTCTGTGGGGAATTTCAAAATCGTCCGGAGTTTGGTCGACCACAGAGCAGCACATAGTCGAACCAGGTCGTCAGCTCTGGGGCTGGTCCGGGAACCCCGGTGGACGGGGGCAGGGAGCCAGCAGGGGAATGAGCATCCAAACCCGACCCGGGGACGGTAGCCTGGACTCCGACGGCCCCGTGCCGAACAAAAGTGTCCTCCTTTTCACAAACCCCAATCTGGTCACCCTAGATATACTAGCATTGCCATCAACAGCTTACAAAATCATACTTACAGCTTGCGGTTGTGATGGCCTTACAGTCGGAATAGCCCCTCATTAAAAGAAATTTAGCAGAAGTTTAGCTTTGAACTGTCCAAGATTTTGAAAGCTGTCTTTGGTAAAGTGCTTAGAGCAAATTAACAGCTGAGTATCAAACTTTGCAGGGATCTTCTGATACACTAAAATAATCCATGCCTGTCGAGTCTTCGGATCCTTGGGAAGACTGTGAACATTTTCCCCTTTCTCCGTGCAGCCTGGAACACTGCATTTCCGCCTGTGGTTCTGGCTCATTTTCAATAGAGAAACTGCCTGCTTTGTAATTCTCGAAGAAGTAAACCCAACTGTAAGCTAAACAGCTAAACTGGTGTCTTACATCTTCCTCTATTCATGTTCTCGGGCCAGTGAACCAGTGGCAACCCACTGGTCTGTATGTAAATTTCGGGGCATGACAAAAGTACAGGCCAAACCAAATAAGGCAACATCCCTGAGTTGACGTCAATTCAGGGCTATATTTAGATTCGCCCGTTTTAAGGTGGAAGTTTTGAATTGCAAGGTGTCGATGGGGTTTGAACTTCTCTGTACGTCCATTTCACCCACTGAACTATCGTTATTCATCTATGACAATGTAAACTCAGTTTTGTATTCTATTACCTTTTTATTGTAGACACTTCTTCCTTAACCTTTTCCTAATGTAAATGTCTCTCAGTCCAGAGACGGGGAGCCTGTGGTGACTGTGCTGTGTCAGGGGCCCATCAGGGTGAAGGACAGCCACTTCTCCAGGCCAAGAGGAAGCTCCGACCTGCTTCGAGCTCCTAGTTGGTTCCCTGTGCCCCACACCAGGGTAGTGCTGAAGGAGATCTCTGTGGTGTGGCATCTCTACGGGGGGAAAGACTTCGGTGGCAAGCCCATGTCTATACATGCTCAGAACTCAAACAGGTTTTTAACTTTACATCTGGTTTGTTTATTACTGAATGTTTTTTGAGGGCCTGATTTACAAACGGATCTCTGACTGCCTTTAGGGGTCGCTGTGTCCCTGCTGGTGTTCGCGGTTCTCCGTGTCGCTCTGTGGCCTCTTCTCGTCCTCAGAACTCCTGGCGTTGGGCAGGAGGCAGCGGCCGTCAGCACTCGCTGCTGATGGAAATCCAACTCACCAAGGTGAACTGGCTTATTATAACACAGTGGCTGGAAAGGGCTAAAGGGCAACCCATACGCTGCCTTGGGCTCAATATCTCTGTCCTTATGCTTTTTGTTTTTTTAATCTTCTTAAAAAAGAGGTGATTAATTGAATGTTTTCCAATGCATAAATTGTTTGCATGGACAAAGCATAAACGTTTGAATTTGACTTTTTCCTTGTCTTTTTATCTTTGTCTTTTTATATTAACATCATGCCATCATGCTCTGCTTTGTGTGTGTCAGCATTAACCCCAATAGTGATGAGCAATGAAGTTTTGTCGTTTCTGCAGTGGAAAATAATGTCTTGATAGGCAACTGTGCATCATTTTTGTTTTAGGTGTTTATTGTTTTGTGTTTTTCTCCTCCAGGTGTCCTTCCAGCATGAGTCTTACCCAGTGGCAGCAGCAGGAACGGATGGAGAGGCGTCACTGAGCGCTGGGGTCGGTCCCAGTGGGGAGCAACCTCTCTCCAGGCAGGTCTTCATCGTCCAAGAGCTGGAGGTTCGAGATCGACTGGCCTCTTCACAAATCAACAAGTTCCTCTACCTCTACACCAGTGAGAGCATGCCTCGCAGAGCCCACTCCAACATGGTGAGGTTGGAAGATGTAGAACTTTTAACACAGGCGGAAGAAATCAGGATGAGATCTTCCATGTCTCCTTGTTGCAGCTCACTGTGAAGGCCCTGCAGGTATTACCAGAGTCGGGACTCGGTGGACCCGAATGTTGCCTTCGAGTCAGCCTGCTGCCGCTGCGGCTCAACATCGACCAGGTAACTCCTGTCTCTCCTCCATTTGTTTTTCAGTTTGAAATCTAAAAAGTAATAAACCTAATTTCCATATTTTTAAACAAGGCGAAAAACAGTCTCACCTATGATGTATATATTTTTATTTACCCTGTTATATGTTAAACTTTCCTCAGGTTTCTTTGGATCATAATCGGTCATGTTCATTGTGTTTGTGTTGTTTTGTTCCTGACAGACTTTATGTTTGTCTCTATTCCAGGATGCTCTGTTTTTCCTGAAGGACTTTTTTAGTAATCTAGCATCTTATGTTAACCCCTACATGCCTGTGGACCCTGCTGCTGAAGGTCAGTTATACACAACATTCCACTTCTTTGATCAACTATCAAATCTTAGGAAATGCTGGCTTCAGTGCCAGTCGCATAGATGAGTGGAATAACAAAACAATCTGATTTTTGTAAAAATGGGCTTTCATTACCACAGAAAGAGCTTTTGAAGAATCCCGCCTGTCCTGGAATGTAATTGTGTTCCATAGTTTTGAACCTGCAAAACTACAAAGCTCTCCTCTTGACTTGAATTGTGTTTTTCTTTGGAAGTCAATGAATGATTTGGATCAGATAGGACATAAACATAAAGTTTCTGTCAGATATTCTGACAGATACCATTAGTGGTTTTACACAAATAAAGATCCGAAAAGTGTGGTATGCATTTATATTTCACCCCCATGAATCAATGCTTTGTTGAACCACAGGCACTCAACCAGATTTTTACAACTAGAGATGTAACTTTTTGCCGTTTGTTTGCAAAAAGATCTGCTAGATTTAAGGTGTAATCCTGAATATTTATTCAAAGCTAAGAGTATTCTTTGATCTAAGCCATTCCACACGAGCTCTGCTTGTGTGTTTAGGGTCTTCATCCGGCTGGAAAGTAAAACTCTGCAGCCTCTAACAGGTTTTCTTCTGTGATTGCCTTGTTTTTAGCTCCATCCATCTTCCTGTCCCCGTAAAAGACGAGTAACTCCACATCATGATTGTCCCACTATCATTATGCCTGTCTGCTAGATGGTGTCTATAGAGGCCACAAAGTTCAATTGCAGTTTCATCAGACCAGAGCACCATCTTCCATTTATTTGCTGTGTCCTCTTTATGGTCTTTGTCAGCTCCAATCAGGAGTTGTTATGACTTGGTTTCAGTAATGGCTTCCTTTATTTCCGTTCTTCCATAAAGGCCTTTACACAACAGCTTCATTTATATTAAGATTGCTTCAGCAGGGGTATAAGTTTATTGGGGGCTAAATAAAAATGCAGATTTAAAACTCTACTTCAACAGTAAACAAAGATGGTTGAAGAGTGAATATAATTTGTAGGTGCTGTAAACTTTAAGACAATTCTTTCTTCATATATAACCCTGTTGTTTCTGTGGTTTTTCCCAGTGAAGCTAGATCCTTCACAGAAGGGGTGTGAGGAAGCTGGAGCAGATGCTGTGCTCGGTCCAGACCTCACAGCTTCTGTGGGAACCACCTGCAGTGAGCAGAGCTCCTCCTCTGCTGGCTCCTCGTCATCCTCCTCTGAGCAGCCTATCTACTTCCGGTGTGTAAACATCTCAGGGAGAAACACATGATGCATGTAGGATTTTATTAAAATTATACCTGCTTGAATTACTTTTCTCTCTATTTTTTTTTTAAAGGGAATTTCGTTTCACCTCTGAAGTGCCTATCTGGCTCGACTATCACGGTAAACATGTGGTCATCGAGCAGGTGAGAAATCATGAAAACAGCTCCTCAGTCTCTGATCAGGACAGAAACGTCTCTACAGGATCTGCAGGTTGCTTGACAACTTTATTCTTTCTTAGGGGACGTTTGCTGGGATTCTGATCGGTTTGGCTCAGCTGAACTGTTCAGAACTGAAGCTGAAGAGGCTCTGCTGCAGACATGGGTATAAATGGACATTCAGACCATTGATTCATATTACATGATAGAACATCCCCTTTTAGCTGCTATAGTTAGCAACATACACGCCCCGCTATCATTGCTAAACATTGAGTTGCATCTGTCATAAAAAGAGTCATAGCATCTTTATTTGTCATCTTATTTTTCTAAAATATGAATCTCATTAAAGCTTAGAAGATTATGTTAGAATGCATAGATATGTTCTCTGGATAAACATAAACCCATAATCAGACTGAGAACTGTGTACTAGTGTTGACAGGTATAACAAACTATGCTATAAAGATGCTGTCAGTGGTTTTTAGCAGCTCAAGTTGCCTAGTTGTGGTTGTTGTTTCACAGTTTGTTTGTTTCTGGTCTTGATGGTGAAATCTTTAAACTCTCAGCTGTCGCCAAGGAGCAGGACCAGAGGTTTGGTTCTGTTCCAGGTTGAAGGTTTTATATAAACACTCCATGCAGTTCATCCAGCTTATTTAGGACAGACTCCTTTCCTCCTCCTCCTCCTGTGGGACAGCAGAGTTTTTGTGTATTTAAGCCCCAGCTCAGTGCAAACCAATGGCTCCTGTCTTTTCATGTGATGTTATTTCCTGTAATATGTGTTAGTGTCACAGACACTAAGGAGATTGAAATCTAATAATCTCTTTAAACTAATCAAAACCCTGAAATTTCCTGATCTCCAGCTTTTCTTGTTTTTTTGTTGCTTGAAATGTCTTCAGTCTCCTCGGTGTTGATAAGGTGATCCAGTACGCCGTCACAGAATGGCTGACTGACATCAGGAAGAATCAGCTGCCAGGCCTTCTGGGAGGGGTCGGCCCTATGCACTCAGTTGTTCAGCTGTGTATGTTAAAAACTTTGTTACATGAACATTAAACACTTTTAAACAAGATTTCTTTTTTCTTTCATTAATTATTTTCTCTCCTTCCTCTCTGTGTTTCTACTCAGTCCATGGAGTGAGGGATCTCTTTTGGTTGCCCATAGAGCAGTACAGGAAGGACGGACGCATTATTCGAGGTCTCCAGAGGGGGGCTGCGTCTTTTGGGACCTCTACAGCATCAGCTGCTCTGGAGCTTAGCAACAGGCTGGTGCAGGCCATCCAGGTACGTTCCCCCTCCTTCCACACGAACAAGTGATATAAATAATCGAAAGTTTTCCCCAGATATTCATGCTTTACATTCCTTAAACTCACACAGAGCCTGTTTTCTTTCCTAAAGGCTACAGCAGAGACGGTGTATGACATCTTGTCTCCAACTCCTCCCCTGACTCGTTATGCCATCACCGAGGGCCGGGCCCCCGCCAGCCGACCGCGCAGAGCTGCACAGCCGGCAGATCTCAGAGAAGGAGTAGCCAAAGCTTACGACACCGTCAGAGAGGTGCTGAGCTTCATCTTCATTAAAACTCAATCATTAACCTTCATCACACCAGACAGCCATCTTTTAACCACATCTGTATCTTCAGGATATTTTTACTGCAAAGTAAGATGAACCCTTCAGTCATCCAACTAGTTTAGCATCAGGGGGAAATAAAACTTCCTGCACTTCTTTTTAGGAAAGAAACTTAATGTCCACATTTAACCAAGGTTTGTGGCTCTTGGTTTAACTCAGAATAAATTCCTGATTTATAATCAGTGATTAAGTTTAAACTCAACCAGTGATGATTTCTTCCTCTTTAACCGTACAAAAGTCCAAATTTCTTCAAATATTGGTTTAAAATACAACCTGTTAAATTTGACTCCATATTTTAATATAAAGTGGAATAGTACTGATTAAACATCACTGAATCTCTCAGTGCATCCTGGGATTTATAGGTTTAGTTTTTATAAACAATGTTAATTTAAATGTATTATAGATATAGAAAGAAGCAAATAATAGCATGGATATTATTAGGAAGATGAGATTTCACAACAGCTTATAGATGTTTTCAAACAACTTACATTTTTCTTCCTTACAGCTCTGCCTATAAGGTTTTCTCCTGGGATTTATTGTAACAGAGCAGCCTGAACTATCAATCAGAAGACAAAGGATTTAAAAGTGTTGTTTTCAGTGGATTCTAGTTATGCATTTTCAGAAACATCTTACACCTTAATTCACATCATTAAGATGTTTGAAAATAAAGTTTCCCCACAGATGCTGACACCCCCTAGTTTCCCCTACATTGTTCCCTAAAGCAAACTTCAATGCGACTTTAAAATGCTTTTTTTTCTTCCCCCTGTAGCTTTTCCTTAAAGACCAGAATGTTTAGAGCTGTGTTACTCTGGGCCTTCTTTCTGCCTCTCTGATTAATGATGGTTAAACAGGCAGGGGAACATTTGCTATTGTTGCTGTTCGGTGTGAATTGGAGACTGACACGGGAGTGGATTTTCACTCCTGTCTCGTCCCACTCCTACAGAAAAAAATTGTGTCCCGTCCCGATCCCGGGCCAGAGTAGAAATCTAAATCCTGTCCCGTCCCACTCCTGGTGAAATTACTCCCACTCCCATCCCGCTCCCATTCAGAATGAGTCCCGCTCCTGCACCACTCCCATTCTTGTTTTTTTTTTTGAGCGCGGGTGGAAAAACTCAGAGCGGAAGCACTGTTGCTTTTTGGGTCGTGTAGTTTTTTTGACTCGCATTATAGTGTAGGCTTCAAGGAAAAAAACTACAAAATGGCAGCGGCGCGCCAGTGCTGGATTTTTTTTCTTTCTATTTTATTCTATTTTTTGGCATCGATCCTATTTTTTTTTTTTTTTTTTTTTTATTGGTTTGCTCCCGCTCCCGTCTGCTCCCGTTAATGTTTAATCCTGTACCGTCCCAATCACGTGATCGTTACTAATACTAACTCCCATCCCACGGGAATCCCACGGGAATCCTGTGACCCGTGGGATTCCCGAAAAAATGTCAGTCTCTAGTGTGAATACACTATTCCTCTGTTTAAATGTCTCCAAAGCTTTATACGCTGTCCTCCGCATTTGTCAATATTCTGATCAGGACAGAAACGGACAGAAACGTCTCTACAGGAGACGGGAATCCCACGGGTCACAGGATTCCCGTGGGATTCCCGTGGGATGGGAGTCATTCTGTTTGTTCTCCGAACAGGTTTTTTCAATTTTTTAGGGTAATGAGAATATAGAGGAGGGAGGGATATAAATGCATACAGCAAATTTTTATTTTTGTTTAAGAAACAAGTTAACTTGCCAATCCACTAATAGTTGCAGTATTTTTTTTGGTAACATCGTATAGAATCACAACAAAAAAGTTTGTGATTTTTTACTTGATGCAATGAGAAAAAACAAATATCTTTTAGATTTTAGTGTTATAGTTAATTGGCTCATTTTCAGTGTCACTGATTTCGCCCTGTTGGTTTTGTCCCTTTGTAGGGAGTGATCGACACGGCTCAGACCTTGTGTGACGTGGCGTCCCGCGGCCACGAGCAGAAAGGTCTCCCAGGCGCAGTGGGCGGCGTTCTGCGTCAGATCCCACCCACAGTGGTCCGACCCCTAATCGTGGCCTCAGAGGCCACCTCCAACCTTCTCGGTGGCATGCGGAACCAGATCAAACCGGACGCCCGTAAAGAGGACTTCCTCAAGTGGCGCACAGATGAGGCACAGGAATAAGGACGGTGTGTCTGTGAATGAATGTGTGGTTGGTGAAGCTGTGGGATGATGGTTGTGGGACATGCATGGTTGTATGCATGAGTAGAATGTTGTACTACAATGCAAAAACAAGGCAAAGACTAACTGCTACTGCAGCCACTGACACAAAGAGTTTTACATACATGTAACCAACCCCAACGCTTCTGCTGCTCATCATATCTACCCCCCCTACCCCTCCTCAGTCTGAAGACCATCATCACGTCTGTGTGAAAACATATCTCTGTTTTTATCATGGCTGGCTTTGATTTCGCCCCGAGCAGGAGCAGGAAGGATTAGAATAGGACGCAGAGGGAGGATACTTCATGTCCTGCTGAATTAGCTGCTTAGAACCTGGTTTAAATCCAAAACTGTCAGCAGGAGTTCGCACTTTTTCCCCCCTACAGACACCAAGAAATAGCTTCACTACAGCAGAGTTTGCAGCAGGAGATTGATGATCCTTAAGCACAATAAGAAGGAGAATCATATTTTTTTTTCATTTTCCTGTTGGTTTTCATCTGGAGTTATTGGTTTAGTTTTGAGCCCGCTATGCACCTGCTCCCCTCAGCGCTGTTGATTTGTGCCATAAACCTTCCAGAGTGCCCTTTGAACTCGTCTTGCCTTCCTCAGACTTGTACCCTCCATACGTGACTGAATAGAAACCCCTGAGGTCTCTAAATCCTGTAGCATACTGGACTTCATGAAGTTAGTTGTTTTTATAGACTGACGTCATTTGTTGGCTCTCCTTCCTGCTTCTGTTTTCCATAAAGCAGTTCTGGTGTCTGAATGACCCCAAACTGACTCTGTCTACATTTTAGATGCCTTCCTATTTGTTATTTTTTTTAAATGCTTCACTCTGTGTTTTGTGTTCATGTTGAAGCATAGGTATTGTATTGTTTTACTCTTTTCATAATAAGTGTTGGGATGATTTGAATTTAGCGACAATGGAAGAAAGGAAGTTTTACATTTTTATCTTTGTTTCTTTTTTGTGAGCGAGGGATTATTTGTGTGCATGTGTGTGTGAATGAGTCGAGGACGAACGTCTGTAAAGGTGACAGGTTTATGTTTGTTACACTACCTGTGTGTAATTGCTATTTACTATCAAAGTGTATGAATGACCTGTATATCACAAAAAGTATACAAATTAATACAAAAATAAAAAAACCTAAACCGACCATATGAGAAATAGTTTGCTGTTATAGACCGAGATTTATATTGAATTTTTTATTTTTTTCTCTCAAACTTATCTTTATAAACATGAATATAACTGGACTATCTTTTGACTTAATACAAAACAAACAGTATTTTCTGCAATGTAAATATTATTTTTGGATTACAAGCTCTGATATCATATTTTTAAACACCTGGAACAAAAAGTTAATCTAAGTTTTAAAAGCAGTATTGACATAATTGGGATCTGGTAAAAACAAAAAAGTGCTTTTTTTTTTTTACAGCTGTTTTTGTGTTGTACTGAATGCCATATTTATGTTTCCTACAATGAATGTGTTTCCCAGAAGCTGATACTGATGAGTTATACATGGCACTCTGTATATTTTTTGGGGGTGATCTTTGTTCAAGTTTAAAGAAAACAAAACGCTTGTAGCAAACCATAATCATCAGTAAAAGTTTTGATGGCTTGGTCTCTACACAGGTGCATGGCTCAACACAGGAGAGCCAACTCCTCGGGACAGCACTTAGCTGTTCACCTACACCCGAAGGTTAAAGGACACTCGTTTGAGGACAACAACGTCCATATTCTGGCCAAGGAAGAAAGATTGTTTGAGTTAGGGGTTAATGAAGCCATCTTTGTTCAAATAGAAAAGCCACCTCTCAACAGATGAGGTGGTCTTAGACATAACCTTTCACCTACTTATAAAACAGCGTTAGGAACAATACCCAGAATATTCATCTCCTACCTGCCCTCATCTGACTCACACTTAAATGAGGCATGTGACCGAAACCACTCAGTGCTCCCCACCACTAGTCACAACTGAAGAAGCATCTTGGATGAGAGGCGAAGCATCTTTTAGAAAACTTTACGTCCAGTTGCCTGGAGTGAACTTTTTCAGAATCATCACAGATATATTAAACATTGATAGATTCCTCTTACTAAATAGCTCTAGCAGATCTTTCCTGTCCTGTTTTCAATGTAAGATGCAGTCTTGTCTGGAGAAAATAGAATGTTATTGTAAACACAGAGATCCTAAATATACCTGTCTGGTTTGATATGTCATGCCTGATCTCAGCTTTCACCACAGTGATCTTTATGGATGAATTATGGAGTTGAGAATTTCTTGATCAGAATCCATTGTTGAAGATGCAAAGCCTTGCAAAACTACCTGTACCCTTTGAACCCTTTCTTTGATATGATCCAAACCCCAGTATAACTCTGGTTATATGGTTAAGGTTGTTCTTAAGGAAAGTGAACCTCCACTTCAAGCTCCTGCGGCCTCTAAATAGTAGCCCTCCTGGATTTTTCTGCTTTTGGCACCATCTGTCTTTGTCTCGGTTCTGGCCAGCTTCGCAATCCCATCTGAAGACGAGCATCCTCACAGCATGATGTTGCCGCCACCATGTCTGACAGTGGGAATGGTGTGTTAAAGTGATGTGAAGTTTTATACTTAAGCAACGTAGCATTTTTCTTGTCGGCCAAAAGTTTCGTTTTATTCCCTTTTGCCCAGAGCTTCTTACTATACACATTTTGGGCTCTGTATACAGAGATTTCAGGCCCTCTCCGTGCTCATGCTTCAAAAAGCCATGACAAGATTTTAAGGCATTGCTTTCAAGGAATTTACCCCTCATTGGCAGTCTCCCATAAATCAGCTAAAGATGGATTCATAAAAGGAAGCACACAGGAGGTCAATATAGGAAATGGAAGAGGGGGGAAGGAGAAAGATGTTGCTGCGACGAAAGGCAACTGGAATTGAGAAGCAGCTCAAGAGGTTAATAGATGGCAGGTCAATGAAGTTTAGTAGCTGGTTCTGTGTGGAGGCTGGTACATATTAAAGTCAGCTTAAACTACTACAACTTCCTTAGACAGATTTATTTTTTCTTATTGTATACACAAGTGTAAACAAAAAGAAATGTTAAGAACAGCTCTCTAGAAAATTTATTTTTTTTAAAGTGCAGCCTTGAGCACAGTAAAAAAAAATACATATAAACAGTAATATAAACATATGACTTTATATTTACAGTTCTAACATTTAATTTTTTAAACTGTGTAGGAGTATTTATAATATTTATAAATATTAATACTATAATATTTATAAATACTTATATAAATTCTAATCTTTTTTGGGTTCATTTTTTTTTTTTTTACAGGCAATTATCAAATTAAATAGATGCTGAAGGTAAACTGATGAATGGAATAAAGGGAAATAAATCCTGTCCTTAAATCTGCAGATTGGTTTTCTTGTACAGAAATTGCATAATGTATATAATTATTTCATTCCAGATTCTTATTTTATTTCTTATTTTTATTTTAGATCAATATACAGTTATTTTAGGTCCAATAAATATTTGATAACAGTCATAAAACAGGGCTCTCTTCATTTCAAGCTACATCTGTGTACATAGGCAACGTTCCTTAAAAAATACATTAATGCATATTTTATTGCCTATTTTAGTGCAATATTTTTTTTTCATTTAGTATCACCATAATTACAGTTACAGTTTTTGTTTGTTTTTTTTAAGATTTTTGATTTCTTAAAAACACGTATTTTAGTTTGTTTTAAAATTATATCTAAGCCTGTGAGGTAAACAATTGGCAATAAATAATGTTATTTGTCTTTATTTTCAAAAATAAAGTAATTTAAACAATTCATATAGGAAGAGTAGAAAATATTTTTTTCAAAAAGTTTTAAACATATTATCGGTACCATGTCGGTCGGAACTAAGTGTGGCGCAGTCAGGAATCATTAAAGCGGTGCAACGACAGTCCTTTGGCTACACATGTGAACACTGCTGCAGGATATTTCATAACAAACTGTCCGTTTGTGGCTTTTCAAAACGCTGCTTTCTGTAACATTTTAAACATCTGTTTGTAAACATGAAGCTGCTCACGCACAACATGTTGACGTCGCACGTGAAGGGGGTAACCAAGGGATACCCGCTCCTCATTAAGGTAAACGGCTAACACCCGACTAGCCTAGGCTAATGCTAACATCGAGCTGCATGCTGTTCTGATTCAGTCATTTTTATGAGATTTTCGTGTCGGTACAGATTTAAATGCACGAATTCTCCGTTGTTAAAGTTATTGTTTTTTCCTGGATTTAAAGTGATGTATGTTATCTCAGCCACAAAGTTAAAGCCATAACAATGTGAACTACACATAAGATCATCTATTTATATAATTTTGTCAGTAAATACACTCACAGCTTTTGACTGTATGATGTCATCAATTTAACTAAACCCTACCAACTTTTTAGTAAAAGGTTCATTCAGTTTTACAATTGTTACCTCTTTAAATTTATATTGCTTTTAAAATGACCTCCCTCTTTAAAGATTAAGCAAAATTTGATATAAAGAAAGCAATTATTGAAGTTGATCAAACCAGCCTGGCTGCCCTAGGTCATCCTGCTCCCTGTAGATATACATTTTTCTTTTTTTTTATCTCATATATCCTCAGAATATTTCCCCAACAACCTTAAGGACCACGAAGATGTTTGTTGGCAAATGTAAGAGGGGTCTTGTGTTCTCTTTGGCATCAGTGCTTTTCCTTATTCTTTAATTGAATTGTGACCTTATCTGGGGTAGATGAGATTGAGGTTTAGGGCTGTTCTGGGTTCTGTTTTGACCTCCAAGAGTAGGCTGGACCCCCTTGGCACCACTTATTCACACCTCATATTTTGAGATGTCTGTCACAGCCCCTAACCCAACCCTAAACCCTTAAAACTTCTCTCTTCCCAGGTTGGATATCTAGAAGGTAGTTTCTTATCCGTTGTTAAACATCTTCAGATTAGTAGATGATGTGTCACCTTATAGGGTCTTTAAGCCTACTTCACGCTGTCAGAGATCTTCTATTTGAGGGATGTCTGGACTCTGATGGTTAGACGATGATTAGGCTGAGGGATGGGAAATGTAATTTCTTAAAAAAAACCTTGGTTCATAGTTATTTCATGATTTAACAATCTTACTAATTACCTGAGTGAGCTTGGGGCCAATTTGAAATGGCTTGCCTTATTCTTAATTAATGTAATAATCATTTGGGTGCTGTGTTTTTATTTACTCCTTCTATCTTGGTTTTATATGAACCCTGTTTTGTGTGGGAGTGTTGGCCTCGTAGTTAGAGCAGTGCGCTTGTGCTCTGAGAAAGTTGCAAGTAACTTATTTGACTCCCCAGCCGGAACTCTGGGTCTCTGAGCAATACTCTTAACTCCACACTGCTCCCTAGGTGCCGCACAATGGAAGCCCACTGCTCCCCAAGGGGATGAGTTAAATTCAGAGATAAATTTCTCCAATGTGAGATAAATATAGTTCAATTATTATTAATGAGCTAAATCATGCAAGTGTGAGAAAAGCTACTGTGAGCAGCTGTTGGATGTGACCAGACAGACCCTCCTCAAATAAAATAGTAAAATGTTTAGTTGGACTCTAAATGTCACCAACCCGATGTCGAAGCCCCCTGGTCTAGACTGACAGTCTGCTGATTATGTATTTATGGTGATATTTGTGCAGGCCACTGAAGTCAAGGTGAATGAGGTGGAGTTCAACCCTAAGTTCGTCTGCCGGATGATCCCCAAACTGGAGTGGAGCGCTCTGGTCCAGGCCGCAGACCAGGTCAGTCTGAGATCATCAGTTATATGACAAACCTCGGGGGGAAAGCTGTTTAATTACTGCTTAAATGAATGTACTGATATGTGTAACTGTATGTAAAAAGATTGACATCAGCTAATGCTGAGATTTTGTTCATTCTAAGCTTAAGATGTGCAGAGTTATAACAAGTGTTCTGAGCCAATGTTTTTAAAACTGTGCTGGTTTTCTTTTCCATAGCTGGGTCATCGAGACGACCTGCCACGTGAGCTGGTGCCAGACTTTGAGAAAAATGAAGACTTCCTGAAGAAAGTACACAGAGTACTATTGGAGGTAAAGATCTTAATGTTCAATCTTAAGGCTGCAGCCCTGGTTACTGCTGAGTCATACTTATTAGTAATTAATAATGATGGATTAAATCGTTCTTTATTAGAGTTTTTGTTTTTATTTTGGTGTTGGGTCTCACTTTGCACTAGTATGCGGTTCATAAACCAACAGCTATTGACTAATTAAACTGGCTCTATGTCAGCACCTACTCCCATCTGGGCCAAAGTGAGGATCCGCTTCTGTCAAGAGCAGGAGATGGGATTAAGCGAGCCAAGAACCAATCAAAAATATTTAGCTTAATTTGAGAAATGATTTGAAAAAACAAAACAAAAAAAAAACACACAAATCTTTAAGATGAATAAAAATGTGGATTTACTTTGGAACAATAGTAGCAAAAGTCTCTGACTTTTCTCCTGTACATTCTTTGTCAACTTTCTTTGTAAAGCAAATTTGTCAGGGTTTCACAAAAATAGGGTTTTACAGTAGCTACTTTCCACAAAATTTATAAAAAATAATATTTTACCTGGTCTTTTACTATGGTCAGATGAGCATGTTAGATCCAGTGTGTAACCCTTGTTTGTGCTGCTCCCACCACTGATACGTATCGATTAATCACTGCCTGAGAATGAAAGCAGACTTTATAAATAAAACCTGTGAGAACAGGGCTTCATGTACCAGGAATGGCTTTTGTAGAAAATTCTAACTTAGGGCTCACCAAGTTCAGAGCTAGAATGATAAAAAAAAAAAAAAAATTACGTCCAGATAAATAAAATTACAGGAGAATCACAAAAGCTTCATGGCATTTGGAAAAGAACAAAGATAACCTGTAAATTCTTAGAAGATTATACTGAAATGCATTTATGTTTAATTTGTGTTTTCAGATTTTTAAATACAAAAAAAAACATTAAAACCTAACATAAAAGAAAGTATATAAATTTTCTTAAATGGAACCTTGTATACTAATACACAATGTGGTAAAAAAGATCACTTTTTTTTAAGTGTTTTGGAAATGCTTATTATGAATACATAACATGTAGGAAATAAGCTAAAGCCAGACTTGTTTGTTTTATTCTTTCTTTTACAAGTTTAAAAAATAGTCAGTTCTCTAGCCTGTTTGGACAGAATCATTAGAAGCCATTGTGGACCACCTAAAGGTCCACTTACACCTCTGGAAGATGCTGTTAATGAAACTTAATAAGCAGAACAAGCACTTGTTTCCGTGTTGAAATCTATTTAATTATTTCCTATTTTACTTTTTATTTCTTCCTCTTTTTTTTATGAAATGTTCACAGTAAAAAGTGTCCGATTAGTTTATTTTTGCAGAACAAAAAATAATAAACAGCAAATATTCTAAATCTAACAAATATGAAGAGTTTTTGATAAAGAGGGAGACAAATAGTTGAATATGCTGGTGAAGATACTCTGTCATCCAGGTCATAGTCATTCCAAAAGAAAAAAAGAAAATTAAAAACAATCCAATGGACTTTGTTTCCAGTTTGAAGCTGTTTCGCTTCCCATCCAGGACGCTTTTTCATTTCAAATATTAGTAATAGCGTTGAGATCAAGGTTTTATACCCCAGACCTCGAACTCAACATTATTCCTGACATTTTGAATTGAAAAAGCTTCCTGGATGGGAAGCGAAACTGCTTCAAACTTGGAAACAAAGTCCATTGGATTGTTTTAAATTTTTGGAAATATTTGAATATACTAATCATCTACATAAAATGACAAAAAAACAAGACTTTACAATCTAAACCTGTTGTCATTTAAAATAAATATGTGTTTTGTATATAAAGTAGTTTATTTTACACTGGTCCAAAATAAGGTTTTCAGACTGCACCTAAAATTCCTTCCTCTGCAGAACATTATTACCACAGCATGATGCTGCCAACACCATGTTTGACAGATGGTGATCAGTGCCAGTTTGTCACAGCACATAGCAGCTGTACTGTCAGAGTTTGATGCAATAGACTCAAAGCACAAAAAACAATATTTAAATCATGACAGGGTTTAGGTATAAAAATAGAACCTAAGTTCTGTTGTCGCCTTGAGCCGCGCAACCTCTCACGGTTCTTGTCTTCCTCCTGTTGCAGGTGGAGGTGATAGAGGGGTGTCTGAAGTGTCCTGAATCGGGTCGAGAGTTCCCGATATCTAGAGGAATCCCCAACATGCTGCTGAACGAAGACGAGGCATAGATGGCTTTTTTCCCCCACAATCTTCAACCCGACCTTTAACCCCGATGGGACTGTTTTGTTATTCAGGGATCAGCCGGACCTTAGTCTGGGTCACCTCCATGAGAGTAAAGGCCACATCCTTTGGGTTGGTTGTAGTTACGACATTTTAAGCAGCCCCTTTTCCCTGCACATGGAAAAGATTAAAAGAATAATGGATGGAAACGTTCCCTGAGAGAAACCCCCAGTGGTTTGATCTGTATTTATTTTTGTAACTGTTTCAGCTTTTTCTTTTCTCAATAAAACTGCTTCCTGACAGCCGAAATCATTTGGTTTTTGTGGAAAAATATGGATTCACTTATATTACAGCGTGCTGGAGTACAACCGCTGAGAGGCACGGCTCTGAACCCCATCTCGCCCTCTCTCAGGGTTGGATGACGTGGCAGTGGCTCGTCTATATTTGGCTTTAAGGAAAAGAGGGAGGAAAAAAAACAGGCTGGAAGTTGTTTTTAAGGAAGTCTGTTTTTTTTACCCACTCCTTAAAGCCACACATTACAGCTCTGCAACCCACACACGACACCCCACCTGGGCGGGATCCATGGTCTGAGATGCCCCACAGTTTGTAAGATCCTCCTAAATGCGCTGACAGGCGGAGGCAAGGCCACTCTGATGAATGAAGAGGCTTTCCAATCTTTTCTGGCCGTCTTTAGTTCACAGCAGCAGTCAAGTCAGAACAGGAGCTTGTTTGTTCACAGGCAGCGTTATCATTTTTAGAAACTCTGCCAGGACAGACGATGAAAGGAAGGGTTGGCCTGACCAGAAGCCTGGAGGCTGCCTGAGTCGCTCCTACCTTTCCCTTCTACTTACAGCAATTACAGGCCTGCACCCGCAACTATAATAACGGTATAATGTGATGGCAGCAGAGCAGCAATAAAAGCCACCCCTGGCAGATTAATAGTCCTCCAGAAGTGCTGAGCTGTAATTAACAATGAGACTGAAGAGGAACAGACAGAAAAGAAAGGAGCTCGACTGAGAGCGTGAAACGCTGAAGATAAAAACGGATAGGCTGCTTTTTGAGTGGTCTAATAAAATCAGTGGTTCTCCTCCTCAGCTGGCAGCACCAACAAGCTGAAAGTGCAAATCACAGCCGAGATCCGGTCCATGAATAATTTAAGGCTGCTTTATGTTGCAGGAGTCAATGTTTTGGCAAATATTAGTGCCACTTTTCATCTGGGCAAAAGCAGGAAATGCCTGTAATTGCTTCAAGCGTTGCAAAAATCAGCTAAAGGGGTCATGTTTCATTTATGAGAACAAAGAAGTTTTTGTAAAATGGACTTTATGAAGTTTTTATTCTCAACTTCTAGTCAACTTGCATACAAGTGGTGCAACACTGTTAACCGCTAGTTTAGGCTAACCTGGCCCATTTATTTCCACTTCTAATGAAAAACGATGTTAATCAGACTTATTTGATAAACTTAATATCATAAATATACTCTGCAGGTATTTTCTAGACCATGCTAGAGTTCAATATGTATTATTCTAACATCTGAGCTAATTCCAACTTTCATTTTACCTGAGAAATTCATCATAGCCTCAGTAATAATCCTGTGCTGCTTATTAACAACATGGGCTATGGTTCCTAGAGCTGGGGTTCAGAACCTGATGTTAAACAGCAATTGGGAAGAAAGATAGGCAATAAATTGAATATTAAACAATAAATCAGTGACTTTTACCATGTTAGGTACAAGAATTTAAAACAGGAGTCAATGATTGATTAGAAACTGTAATGGTTGGTTCTATTGTTTACAAGGATAAACTCAAACACAGTATAATGTTTTAAAGATAAACAAATTTCTTAAGGTAGTTATTAGCTAGATATTTTGCAAATCTGAACTTTAAGTTGGGATGAAAAAAATCCATAAAAATTGAATTCAAAAATACTTTAATAATCTTAAAGGGAAATTTGTTTTTGTAGTAATTCATTGTTTTGTTTTGTTTTTAGTTATAGAAATTGATAGCTGTTTTGCACCGAATGTAGAGAAGTCTCTTACTGAAGATACTCTGTTTTCGTTTAAAAATCTTATGAAAATGCTCACTGTTATCCATAATGTTCTTCACTTTATGAAGAATTCTTCTTTGTGTAATAATTTCCAAAGGCTCTAGAGGAATTCCTAGATCAGAGCCAGCCTTCTTTATTAGCTTTTTTTTTTTTAGGTTTTTTAATTCATTAGCACTTATGCTGTTACCCCAGCAGAGGATAGCAGAGGAGATCACACTCTCCATAACAGACTTATAGATGATATGTAGCATCTTGCTGCAAACGCAGAAGGACCTAAGCTTCCTTAGGAAGTATAATCTGCTATGTCCCTTCTTATAGATGTCTTCACAGTTGCGTCTCCATTCTAGTTTGTTGTCTAAGTCAACACCAAGGTATTTATACCCCTCAAACACTTACACTTCTTCTCCCATGATGTTAACAGGATTCAACTTGTTCCTGTTTCTTCTGAAGTCTGCAATCATCTCCCTTGTTTTGTGGAAATTCAGGATCAGATTATTTTTTCCACACCATACAACAAAGCGGTTCACCAGCTCCCTGGACTCAGCTTCATGTCCATCTTTGATGCACCCAATGACTGCACATTCATCTGAGTATTTCTGCAGGTAACAGGACTCTGCCTGGCACTGGAAGTCAGACGCGTACAGAGTGAAAAGAAATGGTGAGTGTACCATGGGTGTTTACACCTGGGAGCAGCTTATTAACATCTCTAAAGCGGATATAATAGTACAACTACATCCTTAAGTACCAGATGAATTGAGAAGGACACACTGAGGATGCTGAGCAGGAGCAAGGAGATGAACAAGAAATTTAAACCATCTCTTCCATTAGTCACCATAGGGAATGTGAGATCTTTAGGAAACAAGTTAGAAGAACCCCTAGCAGGGATGCAGCCAGAATAAGGTGAAAGCAGCATTATGTGTTTTACTGACACATGGCTGCGCTGACGTTTCAGAGCAGTTTTCAAGCACCAACTCAGCTGGTACACATGGAAGTAGTTGATGTATTATTTCAGATTTAAATAGCTTCTCCCAGGTATATAAAGTCCACTTCCTTGGTTGCTGTGGTTTCGCATGATCAACAAGTATGTAAAATGAAAAGAAGAAAAAAACGTTAGTAAAAGTCCTTCCAGTTTTATAGGTATATAATATATATATATATATAAAAAAAATAAAAATAATGAAGAAAACAAAAGTTCTCGTAAAAAAAAGAATATCAGAGTCAAGCCAGCAGAGCCAGCTTTCTCAAATATTAGTATAATATTATATAGAGAGCTTGACTGCATGTTAGAGAGACAGTTTAGCCATTTAATCTAGTTATTCAGACAAAGGTTATAGTGTTTGGACCTAATGGCCCGTGTGACTCCATAACTATAGTCCTACGACACAATATTTAAATCGACCGTCACGACTTTTGGGTTTTAAGGTGTACAGTGATTTTAAATGGGGAAAGCAAATTAGAGCAGTTGTCAGATCTTGATTTTATCAACAATTGGCAAAACTAAAACCTTTTCTCTCAAGACAACCCTTTGAAACAGTTATCCATGCTTAATGGATAACATGCTCTATTTCATCTCAATTAGATTGCTATAACTATGTTGGTGTGTGCCAGTCTTTGCTGTCTCGCCTACAGCTGTTGCAAATGCAGCTGTTCGTCTTGTAACTTAACTCCAAAATGTGATCACATCACGCCGGTCCTGACCTCACTCCACTGGCTGCAGGGCCCAGATCCTTTTCCATCGCTGCTCCTTGTTTATGGAATAGCTTCCTGCTGCACAATAGGGAGACTTCTTCAATGCTAGATTTTAAAAAACAGCTCAAAA